TTCATTCTAGATATCTTAAATTGATGTCTGCATACAAGTTAATGGTAAATCTGACGTCATTTCGAATAGTCAGAATGTAATTAGAGATTCCGTAAAAGTTTTTAAAACAATCCACTGGACTTGGTTTCCAAAGTTTGAAGATGTTTCGCTTCCCCTCCAGGAAGCTTTCTCAATTCGAATTTTGAATTGCGAAACGTCTTCAAACTTTGGAAACCAAGTCCAGTGGAATGCTTTTTTAAACTTTTACGGAATGACTATGACCTGGATGACTGAGAATCTTCATCAGCGTAATTAGAGACATCTCAAATAGGTATTTTGACTACATAGTCAAAATATAATTAGAGATATCTTAAATCGCTAAAACATCTAGTCATAAAACAATTTGAGATATCTTGAATGTAAAGACGGTACAACCGAATTTATCTAAAATCGGCTTGCCATACATCATCAGACTGGTGAATTAAAGCCTCACTGAAGCTCTGAGGCCGCTCGGATTTCTATTCATTAAAACATCGCTCCAATGCAGCTGCATCATGACTGTTATGGTTACAGAAAAGTGCTGCTGCATTATGGGTAATTCTGGCACATGCGTAAACTCCCATCTGCTGTGCTGTGATTGGACTGGTCTGTTTTAGACCAGTGTTGGGGTCAGCTAAAAATAAATTATCTTCTTTAATTTAATTTGAAATACATTTTATTTTTGCTATTTTAAACTTTAAACAAAATTCCAATCATTTTCTTAATTTCACTATTGCCTATTTGCATTTTAAAACAGAAATCAAACAGTTACTTGCTTTGTGTTTTTATAATACCCACTCACCGCTTGGCGCACACTGTGGAACAGAACCTCTTGGATCTTTTGAAGATGTAGGCAAAGTCCACCTTCCCGCACAGCTCGCAGGTCAACATGGGCTCCTGCTGGGCCTTTAACTCTAAAAGAACACACAGTCAGCAGAAGCACAACAAACAGACAGGAAGAAACCCTGTTTTCCTAACACTGTACGGAATTGAAAGAAAAAGAAAAAAAAAACTGCAGCTGAAAGATGAAGGTGTGAATCTGACGGCTTCAAACACATCTCCCTGATGTTTGCCACAGACAAACCCAGCTCTATCAGCCTAATGCTACATTCAGAACGGACACACAAGAGGCAGCAGAAGCAGCTGGTTTCCATGCAAAGTCAATGGTTGACGCGCATCAAGGTGCAGCAGAAGGTCCTGCAGTGCATCTGAGCAGCTGAAGCGGCGCCTCATGAGTTACTGAGCATGCAAAAGCAGCAGATGCTGCAGTTGGAAAAAATTTACTTTTGCTTCTCGATGCACTGCATCAACCAATCAGAGAACTTGATCTAGGAGCTGGCAGGGAGACAGACACAGCACTGCTGATGCAGAGCGCTATGATCAATCCCCTTAAACAGTTTATTAATGCCTAAATTAACTTAAAATGTTGAAACCTGTGGTGAATTATGTTTGCTTTTACTATTCTGGTGCCTGTAGTTTGAATTACGTATATGTAAAAAATTCCTTCCAGCAGCCCCGAAAAGTAGCAGAAAACCCCAAAGAGGAGCCCGGATGTCCAGGGACAGCGCACCGACATTGTACGGGGGTCTGAGCAGCTCCGACAATTATATTTTGAGGCAGGATGGTAATCTGGATGAACTGACTGCACAGATGAAGTTTTAAGGTGGACTTTCTCACTTAAAAACAAATGAAAACTACTTTTTACCCACTGATCACAGCAAATATAGCAAAGCCGCTCTCTGCCATTGAACACAGGAGCAGCTGAAGCATCAGATGCATCTGGACACACGTGGCAGGAGGCGCTTCAGGAGCATCCTCTATGCTCCTGAGGGGCAACCTTAATGTGAACAAGCATCAAAAATTAAGCAGCAGGAGCTTATTTGCTGCTTCCAGCGCATGCGTTCTGAATGTAGCATAATCTGCAGCCCACACCAGGAATCTGGTCATGCTGTTGTCTTTAATGTAAAAGTCAATCCACCTGTATATAAGCCATCCTGATTGTACATATGTCACCTTAAATCTCTGTTACTCCCTCCTATTTTTATTTTTTTTATTTCTTATTTTTATTTATTTTATTTTTTTTAATCCCAAAGCAACCTTTCCAACTTGTTTGCACCTTCTTTATGTACTATGCCAATATGTGACCAGCGAATTTCTGTGAGATCAATAAAGCTCATCTAATCTAATCTTATCTAAAGTTATTAAACTGTTGATTTAATTTAGCAATAAATCAGTGTACGTTTTATACAGCAGGGATATTTTTCTAGAATTACAAAAATAAAGTCACTTAATTACCCAAATAAAAATATAAATGGCAGGAGGTCATTTTAATGAGAGCAAAGCTTGAATATGAGATCTGAAGTGATGTGATCAGATCAACCAGACTGTGGAAAAAGGGGATGTTTTCTGAGTTTACGTACAAGTAGGCAACTGTTCAAACCTTGTAAAAATTATATTGTTACTCTTATAATATTATGACTTTATTCTTACGGTTAGGTTTAAAAAATGTCTCAGACGGCCATAGTACCATGTTTACAACCAGTTACAAACTAAATCCCAAACCTGAGGATTTAGGACTTTAACTGCATCAAAGGTAGAAAATATGAGGATTTTCTCATTCTTATGCAGAATCTGAGACATCGATATTATGAACATTAGATGATTTCTAATTCTCACTGACTGAGGGACAGCCTTATACCCCTTTCACACCTTGACCATTAAAGGAATAGTACACCCAAAACATGATTAGCCTTCATTTTCTACTCACCCCCATGCTGAACAACACTCTGGAGTACTTT